ATAAGTAAAAGAAATAGCATAAGTAACAGAAGTAACGGAAGTAAGAAAAGTAACAGAAGTAACATTTCCGTTACTTTCCGCGTGACCTTGGATCGGGTAAGGATCGTCGCTTCGATTCGGGCACCCGTGATTTACAAAAAATCGGGCTCACAATATGTTGCACACCGGACGAAGGATCAGTCGTGTAACGTCGACGTTTGTTGCTTTAAATAAAGCATATCATAGATTTTTGTTTTATAATAATTATTCCTTCAAATTTCCGTAAATAGACAATTTTATCTGGGTAATCGATTATCAACTTGAAAAGAACCAAGTAGGTAATTAATAAAACCAAAAAATGTTCACAATAGACAACATATGATTCATTAATTTGACTCGATTGATTAGTATTTTAATCAATTTTAAGGTTAATTTTATAGAATTTTGATCCGAAGGAGCTTCCCTAAAGTTAAACAAATAGCCTTACTAATATTTTCGCATAGTTCATGTATTACAAAATCAAGAGAAAAGATATTTAACGAATCACTTGAATAGCACCCAAATTTAGTATTAATCAGAGTATAAATATATTAAGGCAAAAGATTTTGCTTTTCTGTTAGCGAAAAATCTAAACGCAACATATAATTATTTTCTGAATTAACAAGCAGCCTAAAGATACCATGAGTCATAATAATGGCGATGATAATAGTGATAGCGAAGATCATGACACTTATGAAAATAATTTAGCTGGCAACAGTGAAGTTTTTATTACCTTCCATGTTCATATGCCGGAAAAACTTGATAAATCTATGCATCCTTTGGTGGTTGGCAATATTAAAGAGTTAGGAAATTGGAGGCAGCCGGTCGTAAAATTACGCCAAATTGATGCCAATTCTACTTATTGGGTTTCAGATCCAGTCAAAATTTACTTAAGGGAAGGTAAATTACAGTACAAATACGCAGTTCATCGACCGAGTGAAAATCAAAGTTATTTTTCTAGAACTATAAATTACGTTCTGGGTGATCAAACAATTATAATGGAAGGTAATTCAGAAAAAGACAACCGTGAATTGTCATATAGTGAAAACCAATATGATGTATGGAAAACAAACAATAATGAAAAGCTTTATAGTCCAAAACTTAATGAGGATTTTAGATTTGTTACTGTAATATATGAATCTGTGACTTTAGAAAATTTGAAAGAAAAAGTTATGGAATTTCAAACGCTTTTGAAATTTCATAAAGAACCGACCGTTCGAGCAATTAATATAAATTCAATTCTCAATTATTTTTTAAACGCAAGTAATAATTATCAGAAGATCTTAACCTGCGTCATGTTAGCTTATCATATCGAGACTGTTCAAAAAAAGACCAATGCTCACATAAAATTGCAAGAAAATTTTCCTTCTGCTAAATTCTTACAAGTGCTACAAGAAGTTCAAACAGACAGCTTTCTACCTTCAAACGCCAAAAGAACATTTACTTTGGTAACTTCAGCTTTAGTCCGACATAATTCATCAAAACGCGATTCATTTGATTGGATGAAAATCTTTTCTGTTGCACCTCTTCTTGATTCAAACTATACTTTTTTATCTCAAATTAAAAAACATGAATATAAAAATAAAAATGACATACAGAATTTTTATAATTTACTCCAAAGGAACGTAAAACCATATGTTGATAAAATTAATAATCCATTAAATTACCGAAAGGTTATAAAGGTATGCATTCTTAATACCGTTCTATATCAGATATTACTTATTAACGTTAATCTATTGTAATAAATTAATTACAGACTATTATCACGATTTCTTTTTTCGGAATGGATTCATGTGATTTTCTAATTAACAAAATTATCGGAAAAAACGTAGATCCTGAGATTAGTGACTTCTTGCGTGATGATTATATTAGCAAAAATGTTGATTCAGATAATCCATGCGAATTAGAAGAGCACTTTAAATCCCTTACCAAAGAACTTTGTGATGTATGTTCACCTGCTTTTTGCAACAAATTTATTAAACTTATTTGCGACAATGGATCAACATGGAATTCCAAATACCTGGATTCATTATATAGGCTGTTTCCCCAATTATTTACCACAGAGCCAGAAATTTTGCATATATTAGAATTGGTTTCAAAGTCGAAAAGTATTGATTTGTTACAGGCATTTCCAAAATGGTTAAAATTCTGTTTAAATTCGGGAGATAATAAACAATTATTACCAAAGAAAATTTCACATCTCTGTGTAACATGGTACACAGCCATAACCTCCACCACCCAAAAGGAAAAAAGTAACATTATAATTTTCATGTATCAACAACTTTCGGCTATTTCATTTGTTTTCAAAAAACGATCCGATATTTATAAACAACAATTAGCAAAGATCATTGAAACGAGAATCGCCAATATATCAACACAATGGTTACTTCAATCAACATCAAGTGTTGGCAACTTCAACCTTGAGCAATATATTCTTAATGATTTCATCAAAATCATTAAAGAAAAACTAAAACCGCATATTAGTACTACTGACGATGTGCTAATTAAAACTATCGTTCAGATATGCGATTCATCAATCCAACCCTTGAATGTCCCTAACCGGTAAGTTGATCTTATTTACTTACTTTAGGTGAAACTTGTACATGGATAAATTCCATTATATTAATTAAAATTTTCCGTAGGTTATGTGAAATTACGATCTGTTATATATTGGATGTAGTTCGTAACAAAGCAATAACATCTGGTGATATTAGTAATGATGAACGGCAATTATCATTGCTCAAAACTTCTAAATTTTGGTCATTTTTATTAAATGCTACTGGTGAAGTGAATGAGCTTCAAGAACATCCACAAATGAAACATGCTCGTTCTCAGGTTATTCAACTTGTTGAAACAATCAAAAATAAATCAATTAAAATGGGATTACTTGAATCGTTAACTGAGTTGATGAATGACGAATTGATCAGCTATTTTAATTCAGGTGTTGGATTTGATGATGAGATTACTGATGGGATGTTAGATTTTCTTCGAGAAAAGTCGCAAGAACATTCAGAGATTGCTAAACATTTATTTTCTTTCTACTATAAATGGTGCAATAATACTGATGATTTTCATTATTACTTGGACGATCTTACCGATAAGATGGAGTCATTAAAAGATGTATCACTTGATGAATTTGCTTCTCAAGATTATTGGTTGCCACATAAAGTGATTATTGAAATTAGTCAAAAGATTTATCAATACAAAGATTCCCAAACTTTTGCAAATATGGTCAAAAATAACGTGAAAGATGAAGACTTACAATCAAGTGTGTTGAATGTGGCCAAAACTTTTATGGAAACTGTGATTGAACAATATCAAAAAACTTGTTATAGTTATAAAAATTGGCAGAATATTAACTGTTCTGAAGCACGGGTCTTTTGGAAAGATATTGCTAAAGAACAAGTTAGGCATGAACTTGAAATAATGACTGGTGACACTTCATTGTATCAACGATGTCAAGGGCAGGATAATCTGATTGTTTCTATAGAATACTTGGCTCTTATTCCAACTTACGTCACGCACCTTAATTGTCTTAAGCAAGTTCTTACCCGATTTAAAGTAAGGGATGCTGATAAAGGTTGGGTAACTGAACTATTAAAAGATTTAGAAAATGATAACATGAAATTAGATATGCTGCCCGATATTTTTCGAAAGCTTAATAGGCATTTTAATGAACTTAATGAGAGCACTTGGTCTGTGATTAAAGAACTTAATTTTGCCGATGAATTTATTAAGTATTTACTTGAGAATTTAATTGGAAGAGACTTAACAAATCTTATCAATGGTAAATATTCAATTTTGTTTATTATCATATATTATTCAACTATAATTTGAAATCCTGAAATTCAAAATTCATAAAAATTATAATTATCATGATAATCTTCTTGATTTGTTAGCATTAATATTAATATTAATATAATGTTATTAAGATAAAGCTTGGATCTGCTATTTGTTGGATACTAAATTTAATAGTATAATTCATCAGATATCTGTTAAATTTAATATGAAAACGGAATAGATAATGGATCCAAGCTCTATATTAAGATTAACTTGAAAAGTTGTATTATTGTGACAACGATAATAATTTCAGGATCTCGTGTTCTGGCCTTTATGTAATTGTCAGAAACAAGGAACAGAACATTTCCCATTTACTAATTAATAATAATCTGATCAGCTGTCGATGATCAGTCGGACACAAAGCTATTACAAGAGAACACTGTAGCCGCCTTAATCGAAGTTAACAAAGCATTGAATCCGTTAAATGAGAATGCCGCAAGATTATCGACTACTTCATTTTTAAAATGTTTGTCTGAAGTATCACAAAAAAGTTCATCCCTTTCTGAAAAAATAAGTTCTTGCGGATCGCATAATTTGGCTTTACAGAATATGCATCGTAATATAGCGAAACGAGGTGAAGTTACTAAGGAACGAATTAAAAATGCTGCAACAATTGGTCTTTATAAATTTAAACATAACGAACTATCGAATACATGTGAGCTTACATTGAATTATGATACGACACAAAATCAAAATAATGATGCACCTTGTGTTGCAGCATCTTATAATATAGCGGAATTACACGATCTCTGTGGTCGTGCACTTTTAATTGGAAAATCTAAAGCCTCCACTAATCATTCAGTTGATGATGATGGTACTGAAGATATCAGCGTACTAATGAATCAATTTATTATGCAAGTTGATTTAGCACAGCAAATTGCCACTGTAGCTTCAAGATTGATTCAGTATGGCCATTTTCTTTACCAAAAGGTGCACGAAGAAGCTCATGGAACCCTCGACCTGCAACAATTGTTGGATAAATTAACTAATGACATGGAAAAATGGGAAAAAATAGTTGATCAAGCACAAAATGAACATTATTATTTAACTTTCTTTTCTGCGCGTCATATTCTAGCCTTTTATGATTATTTTAAAAGTATTGATCATGCACATAATGATGAAAATGATAATTTCCATGCATCTAATAGAGAAATTTGTCAAAATCTTGTTCGGTTCGTTAATGACAAAGCTGAATTACCTCAATTACCCAATTGGACTGGAAGATGGCCAAATGTTCAAAGTGAGGCTGATTTTTTACCGACTCTTCGTAAAATTGGTGCTACACTTCATGACATTTTCACCGATATTCCACAACGAATTCGACCCATTCCCGATGACGTTGAACCGGTTATTGCTGATACAGTTTTTAAAGGAAAAATTTTTGTTGCAGATTGCCACTCTCACTCTTTGGTTCCAAATGTCATTTTATCCCTTTTTACAAATCATCGGTCTTTTCCTGAACCATGGCAAATTCTAATTTGTCGAAGTACGACTACTGCGGAGGAGATTTCGCTTTTTATAAAACGTTCATTCATTGCTGCGAAAAATGGTTATCAAGACTACTTATTTTGCATTGCAAATGTCGAGTTCTTAGATTTCGAATTACAATATAATCTAGTTAAAACAATCCGCACTTTTCAACAAGAAGAAACAAATTATCTTTTGGCTTTGGTTTGTACTCGAGAAAAGGCCATGAATCATCACATATTAGATCAATTTTCTGAAAATATTCATCCTACTAATGGTCTTGATTCGGAGTCTATGGGAATTTTATATTCTGTAATTTGTGATCATGCTATGTGCGTGACTTCGAATATGTCTGGGCAAGGCAAAACAGAATGGATTAAAGAATCGAGCTTTAAACTCGGAAAAGCTCCACGTACTTTATTAATCAGTGATAACGTAAATTTTGGGACATTAGTTCAGCAATTGGCTAATTGTAAATTGAGTGCCTTTGAAAGTTTACATCTTGATATTACTCTGGTAACATATCCTCATGAAATTAATTTCTTTCTGTTCGAATTATTAACACTCGGCGTAGTTTCCAATGAATTAGATATAGTCTATTTGTCTCAAACTTTAATATTTATTGAAATCGCGTCAACAATTGAGCAATATTTGTTTGACTCGCTTTCTTTAACTAAATTCATACGTAGACAACATATTGAATGGAGTTTAGAAAATTTTATAGTACCTCGTCATTTAAATAGCCCAATTCAAATTGTCTCATATTATATGGATGTACATTCTCGTGGCGCTCTTGATGACACAAATTTTCGTTTTATAGGGAGCGAGGCAGTCAAAGAACCATTGCCGGCTGAACGTTGTCGTGAATTATTAGAACATTATTTTTTTAGTGACCAATTAGACAATGTCTTTTCTTATCGATTCCTGGAAATTTTTGTTAATGTACTAGCCGATCAATTAATTCGATTATCTGCTAGTTCTTTCTTTCAAGTTGAACAATTACGTGTAATGACTCAAGAAACAAATGTTCGTTCATCGCTTTTTGATATATTGGTTTCTTGTTCTAAAGAATTTGCTACACGAGCGATTAAAGCCAAGAATATGCAAAAAGAAAACATTAAAAAAGAAAATAATCAAGATATTGATACTGCACGACTTGGAAATATAATTCATTGGGATGATTCTAATCATCTTGTTGTTGTGTTTTTGTCACAAATGCCAGATTCTATATGTGCTCTTTATAGAGAAAAAAGTAAAGTACCTGGTAATGTCGAAAATTTATTAAAAAGTCAAAACGCTGAATTGCAGGATTATTATAAAATGAGCCCAGAAATGTTGTTGGAACAACTAGAACGACTTGCAAGAAGAAAAATGCACAAGTTAAAAGATTTACCTGAATACGCGTTAACAATAGAGAACCTCTTAAAAATGGCAATGATTTTATTAAGATCACGTGCAAATATTCCGGTAGTCTGTTCTGGGGAAGCTGGTTGTGGCAAGGTTCGAAATATATATTATCATAAAATCATTAGTTATTATAATATGTGAAATTGATTTTAACTTCTTATTTCTCCATAATCTAATTCCAGACTAGTTTAATCAGTTTCTTGTCAATGGTCATGGAAGTCAATTTTCGAGCATTAAATCTTCATGCGGGAGTTCATGTGAATGATATTCTAGATTTTATGGAAAAGGCCACAACACTCGCGCTAGAAGGTGAAACTTGGATTTTCTTTGATGAAATAAATACTTGTGACCACATTGGAATGCTTGGAAGTTTGATTTCACACAGACTTCTTAATGGAAAGAAAATACATCCTAATATTAGGTTATTTGCTGCCTGCAATCCTTACCGATTAAGAACTAAGGCACAAAGTAATGTAGGTTTATCAGCAAAACTATACGAAGAAAAAGGTAGATTGGTTTACCAAGTACATCCGATGCCTGATCAAATATTAGACTACGTCTGGGACTATGGTCATCTCAAAGCAGACGATGAGCGAAATTATGTGAAGATTATGGTGAAAACTCAGTTAAACCATCCATTTTTTGCCGAATTATTATGCGCGTCACAAGCATTTATTCGTAAAGTTGAGGAGCCATTTAGCGTTAGTTTAAGAGATGTGAAACGTGCTATCAAGCTTTTCAAGTTCTTTAAGAAGAATTTTAGTAAAATTAATTACGCACAAAATAATAGCAAAATAATATCTCCTGAAACTCGTTCATTGGTATTGGCACTTGGTTTATGTTACCTTTTTAGACTCCATGACCACTCAGAACGCAAAGAATACCGAAAAGAAATGATTGGTATCATAGAAAAGTATGAAAAAATTGATGAAACTCGATACAGAAACCAACGATCTAGAGATTTTTTTGAAAATATTATTTCACATGAACAAGAAAATTATTTTAAACATATGCGGTGTCCCGAAGGAACTGCTGCAAATGAAGCTCTTTTAGAAAATCTTCTTGTAATAATTGTTTGTATACAAACACGAATACCAGTTTTCATAATTGGTGCACCAGGAAGGTGAATAATATAAAATCTTAAATATGCAACTTGAAGGAGTATATATATTTATTCATTTTGGGTTTATTTTTATAGTTCAAAATCTTTAGCAGTTCGTATTATTAGTATGAATCTTCGAGGAACAGATTCAAATGATTCTTACTTTCAGACCTTGCCTCAAGTCTATATGATACCTTATCAAGGTTCAAGTTCGTCAACTTCTGAAGGGATTTCGAAAGTTTTTCAAACTGCTCAAAATTACCAACAAACGAGTTCAAAGGAAAATCCTGTTACAGCTGTTGTTCTTTTGGACGAAGGTAAAAATGGCAATACTGCATTATTTGTTAATCTGATAATCTGTTATAAAATTTAAATTATAATTACATATTTTATAGTTGGTCTTGCGGAGACCAGCCCATATAATCCATTAAAAGTACTCCACGCCTTATTGGAGCCACCTCTTGGTTCTCAGAGTAGTGAACCGGCAGTTCCTTTTATTGGAATCAGCAATTGGAGATTGGACAATAGTAAATCCAGTCGTGCATTATTAGTTCAACGTCCTCTTTTTGCAGAAAATGATCTGATTGATACCGCAAAACGTTTGCTTGGGAATGATATTAAAGGAATTTATCATATTGATGATTTTTTGAGAAAACTTGCAAAATCATATCTTGAGTATATTAAAAATCAAAAATATCCAAATTTTCATGGTAAATAATTCAATGACAATAAAAGATACGATATTTTGGGTCGCAATGCTTTAACTTCACTATTATGATTTTTTTTTTTTTTAGGTCTTCGGGATTATTATTCTTTAGTAAAGAGCATAAGAAGCATGAAGAACAAGCAGGAGGTAAACCTACTGTTCATATTATGTATATAAATACATTATATTATATGGCACTAAATTAATTTTATTCTTCAGCCAAATATTCAATTAGCTCTTGCTCGAAACTTCGGAGGAGCTGATAACATGGATGAATTATGTAACACGTATTTTAAACCAGTTTTGAAGCAGTCTCATAGATACAGATTCGAATATATTCCAATTCCTGTCCAGGAACTTATTGATGCAAATTTTGAAGAAAAAAATGCCCGAAACCTTATGCTTATTGGGAATAGTAATTCCATAGTAACTCTTCAAATGTATCGACTTCGCCAAAAAGGTAACGAACCGGTAGTTATTATTGGATCGCAATTTGCTGACGACATAGATGGCGGAGATTATTCATACGCAATTCTAAATCGTATAATGGTAATGATTGCAAATTCGTCATACTAATATGATAATGTGTTTTACTAACTATATTTCTGATAAAGATGTGTGTGGAAACAGGCAGACCTTTGATATTAACTGATCTTGAGATTATTTATGGTATAAAACTTTATGCTAATTAAGTTTACCTTTAAAATTTTATAAAGAACATAAACTAAAAGCGATTTGTTTAGGCTCTCTCTATGATTTATTCAATCAAAATTTTTTATCAGAAGGAAATTCGAGTGAAGAAAGAGACAAAAAGAACTTTACTAGAATTAGTCTTGGCCCATATTCTAATCCTATGTTATATGGTAATTTAATTTTGTAATTTATGACAATTAAAAATTTTACTTTGAGAATATTATACTAACGGGAATTAATTTTCTTATACTATAGTGCATCCAAACTTTAGGTAGTATTGCTACCTGACATTATTTTATTTTCATGAGAATATCATTTTATTTATTTTAAATTTATAAATACTGATTATAAATAAATTTTAGGTGTATTTTGGTGCTGGATGAAGCAAAATTACCATTAGCTGATCCACCTCTCTTAAATCGTTTCGAAAAGCAAAGGCTTACGCTAAATGAAACGCTTTCAGGTTACGAAAAAGGACTCTTTGAACGTCTAAAAGAGTGGACTAGGCAAATTTCGACAATTGTTGAAAGTGAAGAAAATACCAAAATTTTGTTTAATGAAACAGATATGTTTATTGGTTTCTCTTCAGAAGAAAGTTTACAAAGTTTGGTTATTGACCAATGTGAAAAAAATCCTGATCTTGGTGATGATGCGATTATTCATGCTTGCAAAGAAGCCTTAATTTCAATTGCTACTTCAGATAGTATCGTAAGAGCTGATAAATCATATTTAAAAATAAGTGATGAACAAGAAGTGAAGCATTGGCAGCACTTTTATTTCCATGATAAACGACATAGTAGCATTCGAGATTTTTACCAAGCTTCAATAAATAACAATTCAGAAAAACGCCTAGTGATTATAAATACCTTTTCTAATATCAACACTGATGTTAAATCATGTCTAGAAGACATTATAAATTGTCAAATAGACAAACTTTCAACTTTCAAGTCTGAAGCTGAGCTCCAAAATCAAATTAAACGCTTTTACGAATCCGATAGTAATTTATATATCTTGCAATGTGATCCTTTAACAGTAAAGGCGGGATGTATCAGATTAGCAAAATTTATAATTGAACAGTATGAGAATGAATTCATGGAAAAATTTCAGATAATAAGTAAATCAGGTAAACGCGCATGTCTAATTATTCATTTTAACCGACAGTTCGATAAGGACAGTGCAGATTTATTCAATTTTATGTGTGGTTGGAGTCAAATTACTATTGAAAAATTGGTTTCTTCAGAAGGATCACTCCCACTATTTCTAAATTCAACTATTAGTGATATTTTAAATGGGGAATTTTCATTTGAACAAATTTTGAAGCAAGAATTGCTATGGTGTTTACTTTGCGTTAAACATCCATCTTCAGGAAAATCTGTAGAGCATTTAAAGTAAGTATAGTAAATTTATATCAGTAATTATTATTATTATTTTGCAACCTTTGGCAAATTGTATTTACACTGAATTTTATTTTAGACAATTGGTACAAAATATTCCCAAAAGTGCGACACTCATTAAATGCCTAAAAATTCGAACTGAAGAATGGTTACAAGTTAATTCTTCAAATCAATGGCAATTAGACATCGCATTAAATCAAAAATCACTATCTTTACATTCTTCATTTTCTGTGGCTCTTGAGACACACATACGATCTTTGATTCGAAAGCCTATTGCGAAATTACTTTACATATTGGATCGATTTCATGCGTTAACTTCCCTTTTCTCGTGGGAGAATGATACGAATGAGTCGAATGAAAATGAATTACTTAATTTTTGGGAACAAATCTTTATGAACAAAAAAATTATAAACATTGATGACATGCTTATGGATCCTCGTCCAAACTTATATAACATCTCAGGAAATTATTTAAACCTTCGATTCCCTTTTTCTTCGTATTTCATGAAACAGATTGATAAGCATAAAAAACTCTATAATGAAGAATTAGATCTTCTATATGAGCAACTCGAAAATTTAGATGAGAATGAGAATTTACGCCCAGAAAAATTGGAAGTATTTCTTGAAATATTTTCAAATAATATTCTGGCAACGATCCCAGCTTTGACACCAGAAATTTTGCAACTTGCTGGAAACTTGTACTTTGAAGATTTTGTAACAACTTCATCTACACATTCTGGATATCCAAACGAAACTGATGTAAATTTATTGCAGTTTCTTTTCCGCCGTTCATGTGATAACGAGACGTTAAACGATCCAATCAGATTACACGTGTTTTGGTGGACAAATTCTGATGCTCTTATTGCTGAACTAGAATTGGCCCGAATGTGCCCACCGTTCATAGAACTCTTATCTAAAAATGATATCAATAATAATGAGAATGATGGCTTTGGAATTTATTTAATAGATCAAGTATGTAAAATGATGCTTGAAAACATCATTAAGTTAAAAGATGAGAATGCTGATGATAATATTTATGAAAATGACTTACGAGAATGGCAACGACAAGTTACCAATGTTTTAACATTGATTGCTAATATTGAAACATCTTCAAAATCAAAAGTTCTACAATTTTTACGTATCTGTAATGATTTAATTTCAACAAAACTGATCAATATTTCGGATATAGTCAATGCCATTAATATTAGACGTGAACCTGATCCAGAAAACCAGGAATTTGGTTTAGATAATCAAGAGCCTGGTTCAGATAACCAAGAACCTGGTTCAGATAACCAAGAACCTGGTTCAGATAACCAAGGACCTAATCCCGATATAATAGGTGAAATTAGCACTATTAAAATTCAACCAGAGCTCGATTTAGATAATCTGGAAAATATACTTTCACAAAAATTTTTTGATCGTATGTTGGAACTTTTTGACAATATTCCGTCTACAGAGCGAGTCATAACGTCAAAATGTTCGTTCTTTCGACGATGTTTTGATATTATTCCATTCGATTCACAAGTACGCATTCACCTTTATAAAATAATTTTTGGCCGAGAACCAGGTGCACTCCTTGATTCTGTTTTATCACGCATTTTACTTTCCGAAGAAAGCTCTCAGCCGGGAATTTTTGTTCAATTAATTCAAAATGCAAAAGCAATTTTAAATCGTTCTCCAAATTTGACTGCTATTAATATCGCTCTTAGAGAAAGTGGTGTTGATTCATCGATTATGGCTTTATGTTGTGATGTAATACAAAATGACTTTTTTGCAAAATGGGATATTAAGGATCTGATGAAGAGCTACAGAGACGCAGTCAACGTTTTATGTAGTCCAAATTTCGAATTTTTGCAACTGGTCATTGCTGTCGCTTTACTCAAAGAGCTTGTAAATTATCTTTGGAGTTCATTAGAATCTATCCAAAACACGGAGACAGAACCTATTATGTTTAATGATGAAATAGAAAATATTGAAGAAGTGATTAATGAAATTAACATAGACATGGAACGCCCATCACTTCTCATTCGTTCACTCAAACTATATTTTCTTCGTGATTTATATGTGAAAGGACTCTCATTACATGGAATTAAATGTTTTTGTGAAGTACAACGCAGGACATTTCCATGGTTGCAAGATTTTGATTGGGGTGAAAGTACCAGCAAGATTAACTTTGTAGCTTATCGCTGTTATGGTCAATACACAGAAGCAGAAGATGCATTTACTCCACTATATAAACGTGGTCAACATATGCAATTCGAACAATTTTTAGTTAGAGCTTCAAACAACTTGACAATAAATGCCAAAATGTCTATAATTGGAATTTTGATCACTCGCCTTTACGATATACGTGCAATACGAGAACTGAGTATTAATGAAGAAAATGCAATAACTTGGTTACGTAATCGATTACCAACTATGCAATTTGATCAATTTTATAAAGATAAAACGTTAGAACTTCTTGAGAACACAAATCAACTTTATAGCATTTCTCCGGAAACGAGCCAGACAAAGTTATTGATTAGATCAGTTATTATCCATACTATTGCACTTCATTCTTGCATTCCCGCAGCAAATTCTCCGATGGCCACATATTTACAAAATTTGAGAGCTTGTAAAGATACATATATATTGACATCTCGTGTAGACACTGATTTCCTTCTTGAACTTACAGATGCACTTGGAAATTTTACACGGTATGTATTTCAATATAGAATTATATTCTGTTTCTACATATTTTATTTAGTTAAAGATTTTTTCATCCTTCAGTTATGAATGTCAGTGCGGTTATAAATATATAGTTGGTGAATGTGGCCGCACGGTCCAACAAAGTAAATGCCCACGATGTAATAATCGTATTGGTGGATTAAATTATGCAGTCAATCCAGGTAACACACGTCTTGATGCTCATGCAGTTAATGGAGGCAATGAGACAATAACCCAATTAGGCTATGTTTATGAATCTGTCGAAAGCAGAAAATATATCAATTATCGTCTTCGTGATTTAACGCCAGTTTTTTATCGTATATTGCATCTTTTCGTGTATATACTTATTGCCGCTGCTTCAGATGCAGATCGGTATGAATTTTTTAACAATCCACAACAGAATAACGAAAACAACGAAATAATTCAAGATCCTTTAGTTTATTGTCAAAGTCATATTGAGAATGATTGGCAAATATTGATACGTTTGTTTGATTGCGATGATGAAACATTAGCATTTGTATTGCATTCAATTTTATATTCTATTTCTGAGAATCCAAATGAAGCAATGATAAGATTAGACACAGTTGAAAAGCGACGAGCTTGGGAAAATGAATTTGCTCAACGTTACATAAATTCAAAAGTTGCTAATGCTCGCCACACCGCAACAGATTTTCAAAAAATAATTAAAGACACTCGACGCACACTCGAAAGTGAAATTAATGAAACCTTGGATGTTGATGAAAGATATCAACTAGATTTTCGTCCACGAATTTGGCGACGGATTGGCAAAGCAAGTTTCGAAAATTTACAAGCATATTGTGTAGGGTATCCAAACTTTGCCACTGAATTTCCATTTCTATCATTATTCTTTGAATATCAAGAACAATTAACATTGATAAAAAATCTAGTACCAATTGTAAAATTTTCAAGGATTCTTTCTTCAATGTTGTGCTATAAATTGAAAAGGAATGATGCACACAATCTTACATTTGAACGATTTCTTAAAAACAATGAATCACCGGAAAATCTTTACGAAGTTTTCGAAAATTTTGCCAAAGCATGGAACTCTGTAAGGGAACATGTCGTGCAGTTTGAATGTCATGAATTTACAATGCCAATGCCAGAAATGAAAAGCAGCCTTCCTGTGGTTTATGCATTGTTTGAAAAAAGAGATGAATCATTATATATATGTGGAGCAATCGAATTTTTAGCAAATTTACAAAATGATTTCTTGCAACAGGTTTTGGCAATTGAACCTGGTTGTCCTTCATTGAGATTTTTAGAAGGACAATCTATAAATAATGCACAACGTAATTCGCCCCAGCATCATTACTACATAGAATCATTAGCTCTCTCAGAGACACGTTCTAAAAATATTATAAATTATGAATGGAATCCTAAATTACTTTCCTATAGTCAATGTAATCTTGAGCTTGGTCACGGTCAAGAACTCCAATATGAACTACATAAAATTGAAGCTGAATTAGCATATTCATTACTTTTTAATAAAGTTCATCTTAACAAAAATGAATCACTTTGGTTAGATCTGTTTTCATATCACCAAGAATTATTTTCAACATCTCGAACAATTCTGAGTGAAATCAGAGAGTTAATTCCTCAAGAACAAATTTCACCCGAAATACTTGGATTTTCCGCCACAGCAACTTATGATACTTCATCCAGATTTACTTTTAGCGGTCTAAATGCCATCGATATGGGTTCTGATTTTGATAATCCCACTGAACTCTTGTCAAAACTTGAAATTTTACTATGTTTTTTGAAACGAATTCCAGGAAGTCGTGAAATGAAAATTGGTGATTATATAAATAAGTGGGAGAGATTATCAGCGCTAACCGAAACTCCTCAATTTCAAAAAAATAATTAATGGGTTAAAATTAAAACATGCGGTGGCATTATATGAATTAGTTGAAGAAAAAATTGCAGATGTAGAAATTGAATATCTATTAGATAAATATAAAGTAAAGCTGACACAAAATTTGAAAGATGAAATTAACGCAGGTGTTGATTTTGAGCAATCACATGGTACAGGTGGCAGTGGTAAAAGTAAACTTAAAATTCCACACGGAGCTTTTGCATTAGTATTGAAGAGGTTCATGTTTCGATATTTAACATCAGAAATGTATAATCCTAATGAGATACTTGCAGATTATTTAGCTGGGGATACTTTTATTGATTGTTGGCCAACTTGGGTACCTGATAATGTCATTCGTGATAAATTTCCAAAGTCGTTATTAGCTGCAAATATTTATGATGCGTATCAATATACAATTCAGGTAAGAAATATACTTTTACAGTAAATATATTGATGAATCATTTATGAAAATTCCATGTACTTTTTTTTAGAATGCGAAGAAAGCAATTTCACATAAAATTGACAATAATCGACAAAAAGAGACTTTGCCAAGGATAAATTCTAGTTCAAGCACTCGTAGTGGAAATCAAGGAGGTCGGGGAGGTCGAGGACGTGGAGGTCGCGGAGGACGTGGAGGTCGCGGTCATATGGAAGTATTTTAGACAGAATGTAAAGTTTTGCTTACTAGGAAAATTATAAATTTTATGCTTGAATATTCAAGGATACATTAAAATGTTGAAATAATATTGGTAGAATTTATTTATTAAGTTATTATCTACCTGTTCTATTAAATGTATTGCATAAACTATCCTAAGAATTATCTGGCTAATTTTGGTGTCTAAGTTCATTTTCAAAGTTTGCTATTTAACATCAAAAAAAAAAAAAAATAAGATATTTAAAGCAAAATATAGTTATTTGCAGTAATAAAAACAGGGTTGAATTGTTTAGTTAATATGTAATAGTTATATTCTGGGTAGTTGGAATTTTTGTATAGCTTTACACCAAAATTTCACGGATTTATTTTTTTCATGTACTTGGTTTCTACTGATAAACGTCATCAACTTATTTTTTACTGGTCTAGAAATTAATAACTTATGATGTGTACCAGTAAAAATAAGAATTACCCTTGGCAAAAAAAAAATTACTATCACGTGAGTTTTAGAACCCAGCCAATTAGATAGCAAGGTATGTATAACGTAAAAATTGTGTTCTTTTTGTTTTTTTTTGAAAATTCGTTAATATCATGAAATTTCACTTATGATACCGTATTCAGCGTACTAACAAAAAAAATTCCTTGCCAAATTTGGTATGTCGTGCTATAATTTCAAGTTCCCCCAGACTCTAACGATAATATTTATTAATTTAATTTATACTTATTCGATTGTTTTGATTTTTGCTTATTGGCCAGAGTCACGTGATGGTGACTTTTCTTCGCCATGGCTAGGGTACTAAAAAATAAGTTGAAGACGTTCTTCAGTAGATGAAAAAAGTCATGTGGATGGGGTTGGCCAGGGGATAAATATATTATTAAACTTAATCTGTTGACGAAAGACGAAACCTGGTTTAAAAAGAATGATGATGAAACTGTTAAAAGGTGACGAAACTGTTGAAAGATAATTTTTTAAATCAATATTATTACGTTACCTTTTTTACCAGAAACAGATTGTATGGTTAAGTGGCAAGTGTTTTTGTACAAATAAGTGCTTTTGATTGGATATTTCTTTTTATATGCATCATATGTATTGATTACTTATTTCTATATTAATTATAGATGAGAGCTTATTGCACTACTTTACAAACTATAGTAATTAGGAATTGCATACATATGAGGCTTTATCATCTATACGTATGCAACTTGATTTTTCCTAATTTGCATATGGGGTTTCTTTTGATTTTCCTTAATTTGTATGATTACTATATGTATATGTTATATGTTATTTTATAATATCTCTGGATTTTAAATTAATATGCATCATTTCAAAATTTATACTTAATTATATATAATAAACAATTGTATATAATTAACTATTTTTTTTAATCATATAAATTGATTTAAAAAAACTTTATTGATTTTTATTTTTAGTATTAATTTCTTTTCTTTTTAGTACTGATATGATCTCAAATAACTCATTAGTTTTTTTTATTTCTTTTATCTCAAACTTTTGAGAAAATTATAAATGATTAAATGATTATATATATAATTAAAAAAATGAAAAATATATAATGAATCAGTTAAAAATATATTTATTTGTTTAATTCTTTTAATAATAAACATGAAAATCTAAATTTTAAATATTGAATATTACATATTTTTAAATTAGTTAAAGTTGGTATTGTTGAAGAATTAAATCTTAAATTAAAAAATAATAATCATAATATTTAAGTTTGTCTAATTGAAGATTTTTATAATATAATTTATTAGGCTTATCAAGATACAGAACATGGCAGTCAAAAAAAACATAACTAAAAACAAATTTTTATAAAAATTAATAAAATAATTTTTTAAAAAAATAATATACTGTATTATAACATTATTATATTATATAATAGATTCAATAAAGATAATGTTTTTTATTTTAAATAATAGTAAAACAATGTAATATATATATTACATAATATGCAACAAACAAATTTCTGTTATGAAGCTTATAATTACTAAACAATTTCTAATATATACTTAAATAAGTTCTATAACTAATTGATTATATTTCTTTTATATTAAATTTTTTATTTTTTTTAAAGGTTGATATTATAAATATAACTACAATACCAGATAATAAATTTAAATATATTATTTATATATATAATCATTTTATAAGATTCTCAATAGCAGAATCTTTAAAAACAAAATCTGTAATTGAAACAATTTATATTCTTTTATAATTTTGTTTAAAATATAAGTTATCATTTATTTAATATTTAAATAATAATGAAAAGTTTATTAATAATATTATAAAAGAAATATAAAACTTTGATATTGTTAAATTTATATATAGATGACCAAGATATCCTTAATGTCAAGAGTTTATTGAAAAAGATAATAATATTTTATAAACAAAACTTGAATTATGGATAGATGAAACTAAATAAAATAACTAAAATATCAGATTATTATTTGTAATCTATAAGTAAACTTAATATACATAGTTGATATTCAATATTATAATATATTAATATTGATAAATTAAGTAATATAATATTATATATTAATATGTATTTTACTGCAAAGACTATAAACAATCAAGTATATAATACAATAAAAGCAATACTATATTAACTAGTATTTGGTTAAGATCCTTAAGTTAATTTACAACTAATTACAATACTTCATCAATAAGATATTATTTAATAAAACATTTCTTTAGAAAACTAAGTACCAACTGATCAATTAAATTTAATAATTAATGATTATTATATTAAATAATTTAATTTTTTATTATAACTATAAAAATAAAATTTAATTATAATTTAATTTTTAAAAAATTATTTATTCATAAAAAATAATATGGATATAATAATAATAAATGATAATAGTAATACTGATAAAAAATACAATCTAAAATCTAACATTTCTTTTTTTTTTTTTTTTTTTAAGGTGAATTCTTGCTTATAACTTTATTAAGTAATTTATAAAATAGTAACATATGTGTAATACATACATTTTTACTTTTT